TGTCTATACCAGTGATACTGTATATTAACAGTGTTGCATAGTTAATGTCTATAGCTTTACTCTGGCTCTTATCCCTGGATACAGTATTTCCAAGCTTATTCCAGCTTCTGGACTGTGTATGTAACTGTCTGGGTGAACTTGGCATGACCTGTAGTTTAGAGACCTTGACTGATTCCAGAATGCCACCACCATAGTCCATACAACTCTGGCTGTCCTTATCCCTGTCCACCTCCAGCCCTCATTCCCACTCTAGAGATAGTCCCCTCTCAGCATGTGGGCTGGTGAAGGCTCCAGCTTAGGAGTTCTTATTATTCTTCCAGAGGACAGAAGTTCAGATCTCAGAACCCATATCAGGTGGTTCATAGTCCTTTGATCCAGGAGATCTGATACCCTCTTCTGGCTTCCTCAGGTATCTGAATAGATACACACATACACACACACACACACACACACACACACACACACACACACACACACACACCTACCTTAAAAAATAAAATATCTGGGTTGGAGAGGTGGTTCAGTACTTAAGAGTATAGACTGCTACTCCAGAGGACCTGAGATCAGTTCCCAGCACCCACATGGTGGTTCACAACAGTCTGTAACTTCAGTTTCAGGTCATTCAGTGTCCTCTTCTGGCCTCTGAAGGCACCAGGCATCTACATGGTGAATATACACACATGCAGCCAAGACACTCATGCACATAAAATTTGAAAAATAAAATAAAATAGCTACACATGTTCCATGCTCAAGTTAGCAGGCCCATGAGCTCTCTGTCCATAGATTCTTTCATTTTACAAACTCACACTGTTGAAAACTATGACCAGTCTTGTTCAAGGTGATTTGCAGCCACAGAAGCACATCTCTAGGCCCATTTCTGAGTGGAAACGTGAGGGCAGAGGGTCTCTTCCTGTGATATTTGGACACATACTGACAAAAGGTACGATAGTGTCTGGTCTAACCCCATACAGTTGCTGTCTTCCAGCACTGGGGTTCTGTGGGGTTCAGAGGCTCTGGGGAATAACCAGCCCACAAGTGTTAGTAATGAGGTTGGTGACAGGGGGTTGAGCCCAGGGTTCTGCCTGTCTCATGTCCCCAATGTCCAGGACCCTCCCCCTAAGTCTGTGGCCCTCTACCTCCCTCACATTTTTCTGGCAAGCAGCCATCCACCTTGCCTTTGGTTCAGGGAGATGCCACCACCCCAGGAGTCCTGTTTCTAGGGACAGGGACACAAGAGGGCTCCTGGGAGGCTATGTCAAGCCTCCCTGGATCCTGTGACCTCTTCCAGTTCCCTGCTTCCCCTGCAGTATCTTCGTAAATGGCACTGCCATTATGAGACATCCTTGGAAGCCTGGATGGGGCTGCTTGGAGACAACCAGGCAACAGGGCTGGACTATTTAAGGGACAGAATGGGTGGGAGGGAGCGAGTGACAGCAGTGTATTCAGGGATGGGTAGCCTCTCTGCTGCAGGGTGGTGGCCCCTCCCTGTGCCTATTATTCCCAGTGTCCAGGGCCTGGAATTCTGCACTGAGGCCCAGCAGAAAGCCACTTGGAATCCTGCCTGACAGCCAGCAGGGGCCTGGCAATTTTGCATGTTCTGAAGGGGTTTGGAATAAGTGCTGGCTAGGGAACACTGAAGGGAGAGCGATAAATAACATGTCAGAGAAACTTCTAGTGCTGAAGCTAACCACCACAACTATTTTTCTGTTTAGAACTTCATCTGAAACAACAACAACAAAAACCTCAGAATAATAATAAATCTGGGCATGGTGGTGAACATCTTTAATCCCAACACTGAGGAGGCAGAGGTAAAAGGGTTTCTGTGAGTTTGAGGCCAGCCTGGTCTACAAAGTGAGTTCCAGGACAGCCAGCAACTCAGAGAGACACAGAGAAACCCTGTCTCAAAAAACAAAACAAAACAGAAAAACAAACAAACAAAAGCAAGGGAAAAACCCCAAAGAGCAGAACTTCATCTGGGGCACTGTTGGTTATGGGATTTATTTTTCCTTAATCTCAGAATGATACCAGGGTAGGTATGGCCACTTTATAGATGTGGAATTGGTAACTCAGAGAAGTTAAGTAGCTTACCTTACTGGTTGAAAACTCAGATCTATTTCCTGCAGAGGACTACACAAACTACCTGGACACTGCTGGAGCTGGCAGGGCCCTTACAACCATCTACTTCAACTCAAGCTGGCTTAAAAGTCTGTGCTTGGCCCAGGGCCATCCTCTTTGGTTTTCCATTACTCGGGTCCCATCCCTTCCTTGCATGAATGGATTGCTTAGAGATGGCCAATCGGCTTGTTGGCTTATTCTCCTCACCCACAGGTGTTCAGGGCTAGGCATGGAGAATGTGCTTAAAGAGACACTATAGGGCTGGCATGGTGGGAGCTCTGGGTTCCATCCTCAGACTGCATAAACAGTCTTGGTGACACTCACCTGTAATCTCTGCAGTCTGGAAGAAGATGCTGGAGGGTCTGGCCATCAACAGTATCCTCAGCTACACAGGGGCTTTGAAGCCAGCCAGGGCTCCATGAGACTGTCTCAAAAACAAAGCCAAACAGAAAAACAAAAAAGAAACAACCAAACTAAAGTATTTATTTTGGGTCTTGGTTTTAGGCTTTCTGAGAGTTTGGGGCTGTACCTTAGTAGTAGAGCTTTGCCTCACTCAAGGCCCTGGGTTCTATCCCAGCATCAGAAAAAGAAACAAAACAAAACAAAACCAAACAAACATCAACAACAAAACCCCATTTGTGGTGTGAGTGTGAATCCTGATGATCCTGAGGCTGTCAGTTACTGAAAGTACTTAGGGTCTAGGGGATGCACTAGTGTAAGAGATGTACTTGGTTGGGTCCCACAGCCTTACTGGGCCAGAATGAGGCAAGGTCCAAAGCCCACAGATCTAGTGGGTGCACCAGGGAGGGAAGCCAACAGGATTGGGCTTCCGGACTCAGCCAGAAGAAGCTCTCTTCCAGGGCAGCCCTCTGCCCTGGAAGGTCCAGGGCTAGGTCCTCAATGTGAGCTCTGGTGGCAATAACAATGAGAGTGACAGCAATAACAATGGAGTGATTAGTTAGTGCTGGCACCCCTTTTATCCTCCAGGTGGTCCCAGGAAGCCAGAACTCCTGGAGACCTGTGGTGACAGGGAAGTAATGTGGGTTTGCCCTGCTGGGTCTGGGTTGGGAGTCATGTAACTCTCCTAGAGATCACCAAGCTGGGGGGAAGCTGCTGACCCCTGCCCTGGAATACTGTGACAGTACTGTGGTCACCAAGAGTAAGGACAGGTGGACTTCATCTTCTCTGTCCTGTATCCCCAGGCTTGCCTGGCCTGATGGGAGCTGAGAGGACCAGAGGGGTCTGCTTCTCATCCCTTGTCAAGTGTCATCTTTGGTTAGGACTCAGGGCCTCTGCCTTCCAGACAATCATTTGTGCCTGTCAGGAAATAACTTGTGGCTTGAGTGTTCCCACGAGGGAAGCTGGATTCCCACAGCTTCTGCTCAAGGGCTGGATTTGAGATTTCAAGAGTACTGAAACCTGGCTAGGGCTGAGTGGTCCTGTGTCCTGATTCTGTAATGGGGTTGGGTGCTTTGTGTGTTCTATATTCATTTTCATTCAGGTGTATGCACACACACATGCACACATGTGCATATTCACATGCACACTTGAGCACACACACATGCATACCCACATACATACTTGGAGCACACACACATGCACACATGTACATACTCACATGCACACTTAAGCACACACACATGCACTCGCATACACACATGCACATGCATGCACAGGTGCACACATTTGTATTCCCACACTCCCAATGAGGCCTGACACAGACACACAATCCCTTTCACATCCCTCCAGAGGAGCAGCACAAGCTGGCTGTGCACACAAACACATCTGTACAGGGCACCCCACTCCTTTTCATTATGAACAACCTCTAAGATTAGACAGACAGATGAGACCATCACAGACATGCTGGGTATCTGGCCAGATCACCATTAATGAATCCTTTTAGGGTTGCAAGCCCTTCATTCTGCATGATTAGAGTGCCCTGACTTGACTGGATAGAAGCCAGGCCTGCATTGTCTTCATGCTGGTCACAACTCCCCACATAGTGAGCCAAGGACCCTCTTGCTTTAACTAGCCAAGGCAGATAGAGGCAGGTGAGGAGAGAGAGATTCCTTAGTGTAGGGTGAGAGGGAGGAAAAAAGTAACTCAGCCTATACTCCTCCTGAGACAGAAGGAGGGGTAAGCAAGTGCACGTGGTTGAACTGAGGTCAAGAGTCAGACTGCCCAGGTGCTGGACCTAGAGCTCGACAGAGCCACTGGGCCCACCACTACTTGTAGACATTGGGTAGGGCCAGTTGGGCCCCTTCTTTGGAAGCAAAGACCGGGAGCTGCAGCTTTCTTAAGGCATCATCAAGCTAACAAACTGCTCTTTAAGGGGCCTGTCCTTGGGCATCTGAAGCCCAGAGACGTCAGTCCCCTAGCGCAAGTTGCACAGGAGAAAGGCCGACTTGGTGTTCTGCTCAGACTGGAGAAGCAGAGAGAGGATAGAGCCAGGGGCTACCAATATCCTTGCCGACCTGGAGTTGGGGAGGGGGTGTGGCACTACCAGTCTATGCTGCTTTCTCCGGGCAAGGAGCTGGACGCCGGCCTTGGGTATCTTCCAGAAGGAGCGGAGCGGACAAGGGAAGAGGAACTGGCTTCGCAGGCACTGTTTCCCGCCCCAGACTTTTTCTTCAGGCGCAGGGCGAGCGGACGGAGGAAGCTGGCCCGGAACAGGGCCCTCTGGGAGCTGCGGCTGAAGTGGGGGGGATGCCTATCGCGACGCGGTGAAGTGTGTCTTTAAATTCACACCCCTTCCCCGAGGGCGGAGGCCGAAGCTGCGGCAGGCCCGGCTGGGCAAGGAGTGACCGTGGCGGGTGAGGGGGATTCGGTCTCGGGGCGGGGCTCCCGGGATGATCCAGGGCTTGGTGACCGCGGGCTGGTGGGGTCTGCACCGTCTGTACTCTGCGGGAGCTGCCTCCGCCCCCGGATGGGCTGGGAGAGTGGGCGGAGCTAGCTGGAGCCCGCGCCGGGCGCGCCTGCAGCCCGCCTCGGCACCGGCAGTCCCCGGCCGCAGAACGCGACGCTCCACTGGAGCTGCGGCTGCCAGGTAAGCACTCGTGGGCCGCGCCAAGGGCGAATCGGGGTCCCTAGACTTGGAGCGTAGGCGTTCGGGCCACCCAGGCCTGCCCCAGCTCGGCGCCACCGCGGTCTCCCAAAGCCTGAGCTGCTCCTGGGTCGTGCGCAGGTCGATCCCGGGTTCAGTTCTTGTACCCTGGCTTCCCTCGGAGTGGAGACAACGTGGGATGGCACTACCCGCTCCTCACTGCGGTGTCCGGGAGTCCTCCCAGCCAGCTGGGCATTCTAAGAAGTTAGGAGACAGCCGGGTCGCGATCTGGGCATGGGATCCCCAGTTTTAATCTGCAGGGCCCTTGAGGCCCAGGGACAAGAGAGCAAATTCAGGAACTTGGCAGGCACAAGCTTTAATTCGCTGCTCTGTTTGGTCTCTTCTGAGCCTGAGTCTCCTTGGTGTGAGCGAGCGAGCGTGTCCATGCAGAGTGTGCATTGATGTGCCTCTGCATGTGGTGTGTGTGTGTGTGTGTGTGTGTGTGTGCGCGTGCGCGCGCGCATCTGTCCTCTCATCAAGCTTCAGAGGACCCCCTGAAAGGAAATGGACTTATCAGAAAAGGTACAGTGCATGGGAGACTGACTGTTCTAGCCTCTCGTAGTGGCCAGAGTGCTCGTTTTTTTTTTTTTTTTTTTTTTTTTTTTTGGAAATCTGACTCAATAAAAGCCTCTTAGTTTGGGCAAGCTTGAGGCATTTGCTCTGGCAGCCACAGCCCCCGCGAGTCCTTGGCTGCCCACAACCAGTGGCAGAGCACCTGTGAGATGTGGGCTCTGAGCCATACTCAGACAGTGTGGGAGGTGGGAGGACTTGGAAGGACTTTGTCCTCATGTGGCTCTGCCCTGCAAGGTAAGACAAGACAGAAACGCAAGGCCAGTTCTCTGATAGGGAGTTTGATATCAGCTCTGGGCTGGTAGCAGTAGAAGAAAATGCCAAGAGGCTAACTCGTGGGAATTACAAAACACCAGTGCTGCAAGGGTACTGGCTGGAATGTCCTGAGACTTTGCACATAGATGTGTCTCAGTGGCCTGGTGGAATCAGTTCCTCCCTCTTTGTTAGCATTACCAACAGAATCGGAACCGTTTTCTACTCAGGGACAACAAACATAGGAGGGCTAGCAAGGACTTCCAGCTTCTGTGTCCACCCCCCAAGCCCCCAGATTTTGTTTGCTTTGGGGGGGTCTAAGGACCCGTTTGTTTTCTTCAGACAGATGGAGCAGAACAGAAGTCGGGCTGCTGAGGTTTGGGCCAGCCCTACAGGAGGAAACCCTGACTTCCTTTTTGAAGAGCCTCCATCTGGGGACTGGAGGGAATGGTGGGAGGCATCGGCTAGCCTCCGTTTCCTGTGAGGGCAAACAGGCCTGGGGGTGGCCCACTTTGCTCTCCTCTCTGGTATTGGAGTGGACAGGGTGGGGCCTGGACAATCTGACCCTACCTGTGAGGCTCCACAGTATCCGGGACTCTGCTCTGTCCCTACTGTCCCTGATAGGCTTCTGCTTTTCTACAACACTTTGGGGAGGTGGTAGTGTACCAGTGTCCAAGGCCTTGGGTGCTTTTCTTCTAGTGGGAGCTTCCCGGTCACAGGTGGGAATTCAGGGTGGGTGGGACATGAGCTCATAGTCAGGTGTGTATCCATCTGGGCAGACAAAGGGAAGAACTGGAACAGGCACAGAAGGGCATGGGCGGGCAACCCAAGATCACAGACACATGAGGGGACAGGGAGTATGAGCATGGCCAAGGAGGACTAGCCACTGGGTCTTGAGGTTCTCAAGTACCTAGGTAGACATGGATCCAGCTGTGGACCTCTCAGGGAAACACACATACTGGCCGGAGGCACCTGCTAGTCAAGGCTAGCATCCTGATACCCGCAGATGCTGAGATGTAGTCCCAGGTAAATGTTGTTGTGGATACGGCAGCCTAGCCAGACATCATCTTGTTTGGCATGGAGGGACAGGTTCTCAGGTGTTGTGTGGTATGACTTCCTTCCTTCTTCATATATCCCAGGCTAGCTATGAACTTACCGTGTGGCCAAAAATAGTCTTAAACTCCTGATCCTCTTGTCTCTACCTCCTGGGTACTAAGGTTACAGGTATGTTCCCCCATGCCCAGTTTACAGGTGCTGGGAATGGGACCCAGGGCCTCATGCATGCTACCCAAGCACTCTACCAACTGAGACACAGCCCCACTGTGGATTTATTTCTAGACCATGTTGGGGATAGTTAGAGGGTCCCAAATGGCTTAGTGTTGTTTTACTCTGAAGGCATATGACCTCCTGCCCCTTCAGTTACTGGCTAAGTGTCTGCCTGGGGTACCAGCTGAAGCTTTGTCAGCCTTTGGTGGCATCCTTTTGTGTCCTGGGACTTTTATGAGCCTTCCCATTGTTCTGTGTGCTGCTTCAACTGCTGCCTGCCCTAGAGTCTGCAGGCTTTTCTGCTGAGCTTAACTACACCCTTGCGCCTTCAGGCAGTTGCTTCTATATACCACTGGGAGATATATGGAGGGTCTGGGATGAAAGCCTTTTCCCTTTGGCTTGGACAGAGCAGAGGCTCCCATATTCTCACTGTGCTCATGGCTACTCTGCCCAGCCTGGCACTTTGGGACCAGCCCTGACCCTGATACAGCTTGACACCAAATGCTCTTGTGACCTTCCACAGTTACTTAATGTCTTAGTTGCCTCATCTTTAACCTCAGCTCCCTGGAGGGTTAAATGGGAGACAATTCATGGAAAGTTAGTGACCTTCCATGGGTTCAGTAGGGCTGCAACCATGACAGCCCAGAGACTCTTTAGAAGCTAGGTGCTTGGCTGGGAGCCTGGGCAAGTAGGGCATGTAGGCACTGGGCACCTCTCTGTTGGAAGTGGCAGCCCCCTCTGTCCTTTCTCTCTGCCCACAGCCCCTCCTCATCCTGGGGTGCTCTGAAAGGGGTCAGGAAGTAGCAGGCTGGGCGTGTGGAAGCATGGGCTTTCTGCCTGCAGGGCCTCTGGGAGGGGAGCCAGTGGCTTGCTAAGAATAGCCCAAATCATGGTTCTGGCCTTGCGGTGGGCAGCATTGCCTTTGCCTGGCTCAGAGTACAGGCTTGGAGAAAGGCTTTTCACGTTTCCTGTGGCCAGCATGGCACAGGGATGGGCCTGGGAGCTGGCTTTGCTACTTTGCTCAAGCCTTTGTCTGGGACTCAGGAAATAAAAAGTGAGTGAACAACAGCCTTTGTCTCTTGCAGGTCTTCCTTCCCTCAACCCCCCAGAGTGTCCTGCTAAACTCCCCCTAACTGTCTACAGTTCTGTAGCAGACTGTAGCAGAATTCCTATCCTAGCTCTATGACCCTCAGCAGCACACTTAACATCTCTGTGCCTTATTTTCCTTATGTAACAGGGTAGGGGAAGGGATTCCCCTGAAGGGATATCACAAGAACATAAGGTGGGTGTGTACGGAGATGGCTGGAGACTGTTTGGCTCACAGGATGTGTTAGGGACACAATGGGTGCTGTAGTCATCATGATGGTCACATTTTCCAGCAGGGTGGTGAACCAGAGAAGCCCACGATGGATCGCAGCATGTTGATGGGGGACAAGGACCAAATGTCATTTGATTTGAGGTGGGGAATATGGCTCATTAGTAAAGTTGGATCTCATGCAAACATAAGGATCTAAGTTCCATTACTAAAATCCACTGATGAGCTGGCTGCAGTCATGTGCAGTGCTGGGGCTTGCTGACCAGCCTGCCTAGCCAAGGTGCTGGGTCTCAAAAATACAGAGTGATCTAGTGCCAACCTCCAGCCTTCACATACGGCCAAGCATGTATAATCAACACTGGTGTGCACATGCACAGATGAAGTACAGGTATCTCTTTAGAGGTGGATTATACCACATTCCACTGGGTCCTACTGTGTGCAGGTAGGTTATTGCTGCCTGTGGTTGGAGCTGGTGGGCACAGTTTGCCCAGGCAGTCACTAAGGTAGGCTTGGCAAAGGTTAGATGGCTATCCCAGCAGAAGGTCTGGTAGGTGGAATGGCCCCAGCTGTTTGTATATTTCCTGTGGATGTTCTGTGACACAGGGGTCCTCTCTAGCCTGGAGCTGGGGCAGCTTTGTGCCATAGACAAGGGACATCTGGGCTCACTATGGGCCTGTGGTGCTCCAGCAGGTCCTGGGCTTTGGGACCTGGGTAGGTCACTGGGAGGAACTCTGTGGGCTTGCAGCAGCTCCTTAAGGAGAGAGCACTTGGAACTGGAAGACTGTGGCTCCCCTGAGACGTGGGCCTCCACAGGGAGAGCGGTGAATGTCCTGAGATGGCCTAGAATGTTTGTTCTACTTATCCCCGCACCTGCCTCCCAGCTGTGCCACTCCTGGGCTTCCCGCCCCAAAGAGAGGACAGGGAAACTGGGGTGTTTTGGAAGATTTTTTTTTTTTGGATAGTGCAGAAGGGAATTTCCCTTTCCTGGGCCAAGAACCTCACCACTGAGTTAACCCTTCTCTTGCTGGTCACTAAGTGGCCAGGGGAATGTGTGCCCTTGAACTGACACTGGTATTGACAGAGTCCTCCATCTTGGGACCCTTCTGCTTCCTTCCCAGGGTGGCCCTCCACTAGTGCCTCACTGATGGTGGGACTTAGGAGAGCTTCAAGCCAGCCATGGTCTGCTGTGTGGGTTAGCCTTGCGCTGACTTCCAGGTTCTCTTTCTGTCCTCATGGCTATGGAACCTGCCCACCTGCGGGGAACTAGGGGAGGTGGAGGGCATTCCTGGACATTTGGAGTCTCCTGTGAGTGTGTCTTGGCCTGACTTATCCAGGACCTGTCAGTAATCTCAGGGTTCCAGATGCTCATGACAAAGGGCAGTCTTAGGACATCAGCTCCTAGGCTGCAGAGAAGTGTGGGGCAGGCCTCTATTGTCTGTGGGCTCTGATGAGCATCAGCTTGGGTGATGGTCCAGTGTCTGCTCTGAACATATGTTCTCATCTATGGAATGGGTGGAATTTTTTTCTCTGATTGCTTTTA